AACTTTTTACTGTACGATATTGTAAGTGCTCGGATGGGTTATGAGACACTGAGGAGAATATGAATCAAGAGCCCAGGAAATGTATAAATGCATGTTCTGCTTATTAACAAAGAGGACTGCACATTATTCAGTACAGGCAGAAATCATATTGTGATATTCCAAATAAAATCTGAAGAGTGGAGAGAACCACATAAATAACTTCTTGATTTGTGTCCTCAAACTAAGCAACTCTACTAAGATAACTCTTCTTGGCATCTCTGAATCTTCTATATTACTAGTGTTTTTTTCCTATATAATTTTTTTTTACATATTTTTAAAAAATTGGGCATAATATATATTTACATTCTGATCTTAAATATTCTATTATACCAGTTTTAATGGAAGTATTTTAAAACATGCAACATGTCCGTCATCACAGAAAGTTCCTTGTGCCCCTTATCAGTGAATCCTCCTGCCCTCACTGAATACATACATTTTTGTATCTGTCTTCTTTTACTTGACATATTATTTTTGTTTGTAATTTATCAATGTTGTTTTGTATATTAGTATTTTCTTTTAATGACTGAGTAGTAATCCACTGCATGAACATACCATGATTTACTTATCTATTACTCTCTTAATGAACACTTGGATTGCTTACTAAATTTGGTTTTCATGTACAAAACTGTATGAATAGTGCTATAAAAGGCTTTTTATGGATGCATACTTGGATAAATACTTTGGAGTGAAATTAATGAAAGATAAGGCAGATGTATGTTTATAGTCTTAAGAATTTGCCAATTTTTAAAAGTGTTTGTACTATATTTATATAGTTCATTGTCTTGACTACCTCACCAAGTTGCTGAGGCTTGCTTTGAACTTGAGATTCTCCTGCCACAGCCTCTTGAGCGACTGAGATTGCAGGTGTGTGCCACCATGCCTGGCTTCCAACTTTATTATTTCCTAATATTTTTATTTTGGCTATTCTCAATCTTTTGCCTTTCTAAATAAACTTTAAAATCATTTAGAATAAAGCCTTATAAAACTTTGAATCTCTTTTCTGTTGAGGGAAAATGGATATCTTAAAATAAGTGAGTCTTCCAATCAATGAAAATGGTATCTCTACATTTAATTTAGATTTTATTTTATTTATCTTAATAGTGTTTTATAGTTTTCAGTGTATAAATTTTAAATATCTTTCATTAAATTAATTCCTAAGTATCTGTTTTTTGAAGCTTTATATATTATATTTTAAATATTCCATTTTCTAAATGTTCATTATTAGTCTGAATAAACACAATTGATTTTTTGTATATTGGCTTTACATTTTGATGCATTGTAAACTCATTTATATGTTTTATTCATTTTCTTATGAAATACTTCACTAAAGCATTGTTATTGTCATATAATAAGAGTTAGGGAACATTTCT